GGCTTCACCCCTTTCCTGACGCGACACCTGGAGGCTCGGGCGGAGGGTGTCCCTCCCCGGGTATCTGTTGCCCTCTGACCTGCCCCCTCCCCGACCTCCTCCCCTCTGACCTGCGGTCCCCCTCCTGCTCCCCCTTCCAGCCTGACCTGCCCCTCTGACCTCCCCCCACCTTCGTGCCCCCCCACCGGGTGCCCCGCGCCCTCCTTCCTGTAGTTGCAGAACATCCAGGGGATGGCTGTCATTCGTTAGCTCAGAAGACTTCACGGGGACATACACCCCACACCCACCTGGACACATAAGCAGGTGGCCAGGCAGGGTGAGCACCCCGTTCACCAAATCCTGACCGGCCAGCTCCAGGGGGAAGGAGCTGGGAGAGGTAACAGGGTCCCAGAGGGAATCGGCCCCAGCCGCTGGGGGCTGGCCCTCGGACTGTCCCACCCCCGGAATGGCCACAGGAGGGAATAGGAATTGGGGAGGAGGACGCATCGCGGGCTTGAGCAGCCAGGCCTCCCGCCGAGTGTCCACAAACACCTGTGTCCAGACAGAAGCTGGGGCTGATGACATGAGGTGGGCACGTGTCCTTTCCTCTCCTCAGTCCTAGGCTGGCCACCACGTACCCATTTTATGTATAAACTGAGTCTCAAAGTGGGGACCCCCTTCCCCCGGTCTCTGGAATGTCCCGCAGCCTGGCCATCTGTCAGTCCTTGTTCCTGGGCGTTCTGGACGCACCCTAGCAGTCCTGTGGCCTGGCAGGTCGAGAGGGCAGTAAGCCCCACCTTGGTGTCCTGCTCCACTGGGTCTCAGCCTGTTTGACCCAGTGTCCCTCTGGGGGAGCCTGGAACTAGAGCTCCCTGCCCTGTGACCGAGGAGAGAGGCTTGCCGCTGGGGTCAGGTCACGCTGCTCCTGGGTGACCAGGCAGAAGAAATGGGGTGGAGGGTGGTAGGGGGTTGACCAACGTAACGTCCGCCTTCGGTTGGCACGCAGAAGACGGTGCAGCTGGCGGAAGACGGTGCAGCTGCTGTGACGTTCTGGGGAGGAGGGTCTGGGTGGTGAGTTGTCTGTAGCTCTTTTTCTGGAGGGAGATGTGATGTGACCCCAGAAAGCGTGTGGCCTTCTAGACCCATCTCAGGCCCGGGCGGTTCTGCCCAGGGGTCCTGGCTTCCCGCTGGAATTGACATACAGGCAGGCACGGGCCTGGCACTCAGGGCTCCTTCCCAGCTGCTCCCTGCCCGGCTGGGAGTGGGGAGGAGGGTCTGCACTCACAGCGGAGGGGCCGGTACCTGGGGAGGTTTCTGGAGGAGAGCAGACTCGCTCAGGAGCTGGGCAGGCAGGAAGTCCCTGCCCCCGCGAAGTGAGCTCTGGGGGAACTGGAAATGTCTGTGGTCTGTCCCCAGCAGAGAAGCCTGGGGGGTGGAATTCCCCAGACCACGTGGTGTGGAGGCTGCCCTGCACCTGCCCTGGGCCTCGGCCTCCTCCTGTCCTCCCCCTCCTTTTGCTTCTAGGATGCACAGGGGGCCCCGCCAGCTCAGGTGTGGGAGGACTGCCACGGGCCTGGTGGTTTTTTACTGAGTTCTTATTTTGTGAGAATTGTAGATTCCTATCTAGTTGTAAGAAACAAAGCCGGTGTGTCCTTCACCTGGCGTCCCCAGCAGGTTGCCGCCTGGATACAGGTGAGGCCGAGCTTGCCTCCGGCGGCCTCCCCAGGGTTCACCCTCGCGGCACCGTCTGTCCTCCATTTCTGTAACCGTCGTGCAGTGTGAACCTCCGGGGACTGGCTTCTTCCAGCAGCAGAATCCCCGAGATCCCGCCGGCCGGCGCCTGGATCAGCGCGACCTCTTTAGGCCTCCGGCTGCGGGTGCTCAGCCCTGGAGGGCATCTGGGTTTCCCTTCTCTGGTGATGAGGAGTAAAGCTCCTGTAGACATTCACGCACAGATTTTTATGTGAACGTCCGTGTGTGTTTCTCTGAGATAAGCCATCAGGAGTGAGTTGCTGGGTCAGAGGGAAGTGCAGGCCTCGCTGGGAGAGATCCGGTGTCACTGGTTTCACTCTGGGCATCCGGGGAGGTGTGCGTGAGGTCGCCCGTGGTGCTGCGTGTCCTCCTGTGTCGGCGTGCCTTCGGCCCGTCCTGGTGAAACGCCTCGTGCCTTTTGCCCTTTTTCTAACCGGACTTGTGACTCTTCCAGGCACCGGTCTTGTCAGCGTGTGGTTTGCAGGTGTCTCCCAGCTCGTAGCTGGTTTTCCCTTTTCCCTTTTCCGGATCCTGCTTCTGGAGGCGTGTTTGAGAACGCTTTCCTCAGCCTCAGCCCCAGAGAGTCTCTCGGATGTGTTTTCCTAAAGGCCTTCGCGGTGTGTGTTGTGCATTTAGATCTGTGACCGTTTCGGGTGGGTTTCTGCGAGAGGGTGGGGCTGAGGTCTTCTCCCCCGGACCCTGTGAAGTGCTGGCACCTGTGTTGGGAGTCTGTGGGGTGCCTTTGTGGGTCGGTTGGGGTTCTCTGGTCTCTCCCATTGCCTGTGCGTCTGACCCTGCCAGCACCACCGCCTGAATGAGCTGCCGAAAACCCGCGGAGGCTCCAGGCCCCACCCAGGTCTGAGGAGAGTTCCTGGCTGTTGGCCCCCCCCCCCCCCCCAGTGTCAGGAGCCAGTCAGGAACGTGACCTTCCTGTTTGGCCCGTGACCCTGGCTCCCTGTCCTGCCTCTGCCCAGAGTCCAGGTGCCCCTGAGCTTTTTGGAGCCATCGTCCTGTTCTTTTTCTGGCCTCTGCTTCCCAGGTGGGACCCAGGTTGACCCAGGTGGGGCGGGGGCGCGAGGGTGAGGCAGGAGAGACCTGACTCCGAGGAGGGGCAGGCCCAGGGTGGCTGCCTCCCTGTCTCGCGGGGACTCTGGGACCTGCTTCCCTGAGAGGCCTGTGGTGAGCGGGGCCGTGAGGGCCACCTGCTCCAGAGCAGAGCCACCCCCTCACCTGCTCTGGGGTCCTGGCCTGGGACTCCCCCCCCGGCACCCCCCACACACTGTTTGCAGAGGACAGGATGGTAACCCTGCCTCCTGCAGCCTGTTGGTCAGCACTCAGGAATGTGAGCCCTGGGGCTGGGTGGGTGCTGGGCCAGAGGGAGGCCTCAGGAGTGCTGGGCGTGTCCCAGGTGGCCTGTCGGAGCCTGTGGCCCTGCAGCCCCGAAAATGCACTGGGGCTTCAGTCCCGACCCCTGACCCCAAGAAGGTGCCTCCCAAGAGACCCTCTGAGAACAGCCCAAGTGCGTGCTTCTGTGGTCAGACCAGGCAGAGGTGGGCATGGAAGGGGCCTGGGGAGCCAGCAAGGGCCCGAGGCCTGTCGGTGAAGGGCTGGCAGCGGCTGTCAGACGCTGGCAGCCTGGAGGACGGGCCAGCCCTGAGACACTGAATGGGAGAGAGGGAGCCCGCACATAATAGGGAGCCCGCATGGCACAGGGCGCCCAGCCGTCTCTGCAGCCACTGCTGCCACGTCTGCACTGGTCATTGCCATGTCCGTGGGCACCTGCCAGCCTCCCACCAAGTGCTGTGTGTCCTGTTGGGAGCTCGGGGTCTTTGTGCCTGGTCCCTGCACCCCTCAGCCCCCTTGGCCTCAGGGAGTGAGCTGCCTGCTGCTGCCCTGAGGAGAAGCTGGCAGGGGCGGGGGGGCAGTCCCTACAGGAGATGGCCCCACACTGTGCCCAAGCCAGGCTGAGGGGGGCTGGCCCCGGCCTCCACCTCAGGCCTCTGGGGCCTCTGGGTATTCCCTGCCTCTGACTATTCAGGCCCCGATGGGGAAATATTTGGGGTCGGAAAGCCTGCTTCCAGAGCCAGCCCAGGGCGCCGGGTGGCCGGGCCGGGCCAGAAAGGGTTAATGACGCTCTGGGCTGGGCTTGGGGGGTTGGCTGCCCTGACCCCCTGAGTGGCCCTGGTATTCCAGTCTGACCTGCCTGCCCTCCATCATGCGCTGGGTGCTGGGGGGCTGCCTCCGCTTTGTTCCCAGACCCCAAGCCCTGCACCCTGAACCTTGTCCCCTGACCCCGACTGCTCCCAGGGTCTCCCAGCTGCCTCTCCACTGATGTGCTTCCCTCCGTCCCAGCAGCCAGAGCAGCTGAGTCCCACGTCAGCACCAGGGAGGGCTGCTTTCTGCCACCCACAGACCTGGCCTTGAGGCTGCTCCCAAGCCAATGAACCCCATGAACCCCATGAAACCTGCCCTGCCCTCCGCGCCACACAGGTGAGTAGGGCCCCAGGGATGTGGGTGGCCCAGCAACCCCTCTGCTCCCAGCCTTCAGTTCCTCCAGGCGGCGTCTGAGCACCTGAGGCCTCCACACCCAGGCGCCCTGCCCCCTGTCCTTGCAGTGATGGTCCCTTCGCTTATGAGGCGGTGCCCTGGCAGCAGAGCGCCGCTCAGCCCGCAGGATCGCTGTCCGTGGTCACGACCGTGTGGGGAGTGGGCAACGCGGCACAGAGCCAGGTGAGCCCACCTCGGACCTCAGACTGGAGCCGAGCCCCCTGGGCTCCCTGCCTCGGAGGCCAGTTCTCCCTGCACCTGCTGCGCCTCTCTCCCCGTCTTCACCTGGCCTCCACCACCCCGGGAGCCCCCCACCACCGCACCTCACCTGCCAGGCCTCGCCTTGGAGCCCCTCTGCGAAACAGTTGTTTGGATGGTTCCCTGTGGTGACTCTGGCTTTCTTGCAGGTTTTGGGGAGCCCCATGGGTCCTGCAGGGAGCCCCCCTGGCAGCTCCATGATGCCGGGCATGGCCGGTGGCAGCTCGGCGCTGAGCTCCCCACAGTGCCTGGCACAGCCCGGGTGAGCAGGACCCCGGGAAGGGGACGTAGGTCTGTGTGGCCCAAGGGTGGGAGGGCCGTCGGTGGGAGGCCCTTCTGAGCCACCATGTCTCTTGCAGGTATGCTGGGGGCGCTGGGGGCCTGGGCCTCCCCTCCCATGCCACCCGGCCCTCCACAGACTTCACTCAAGCAGCAGCAGCTGCTGCCATGGCTGCTGCCGCCGCCACCGCCACCGCCACGGCCACAGCCACGGTGGCCGCCCTTCAGGAGAAGCAGAGCCAGGAGCTGAGCCAGTACGGAGCGGTGAGGCCGCCCCCCAGGCCCCACGCTGCTCAGGGAGGGGGGACGGTGAGGAGCCCGGCTCAGGGACTGCCTGTGCGGTGTGCACGCAGCGTAGGCAGCACTGAGGCCGAGGCTCTGGGAGGGAGGTGGGACGGTGAGGAGCCCGGCTCAGGGACTGCCTGTGCGGTGTGCACGCAGCGTAGGCAGCACTGAGGCCGAGGCTCTGGGAGGGAGGTGGGACGGTGAGGAGCCCGGCTCAGGGACTGCCTGTGCGGTGTGCACGCAGCGTAGGCAGCACTGAGGCCGAGGCTCTGGGAGGGAGGTGGGACGGTGAGGAGCCCGGCTCAGGGACTGCCTGTGCGGTGTGCACGCAGCGTAGGCAGCACTGAGGCCGAGGCTCTGGGAGGGAGGTGGGACGGTGAGGAGCCCGGCTCAGGGACTGCCTGTGCGGTGTGCACGCAGCGTAGGCAGCACTGAGGCTGAGGCTCTGGGAGGGAGGTGGGCGGCAGGAGGAGACGCTGAGGGAGCGGACTGGGCACTCAAAGTGGTGGCCGGGCCTGGACGGTCCCTCTTCTCTTCCCAGATGGGGACCGGACAGTCTTTTAACAGCCAGTTCCTGCAGCACGGAGGCCCCCGGGGGCCCAGCGTTCCCAGCAGCATGAACCCCGCCAGCGTGGGAGGGCTGATGGGCCCCTCTGGCATGAGCCCCCTGGGCATGACCCCCACCCGGGCGGTGGGCATGGCGCCCCTGTATGCAGGGCAGCGCCTGCCCCAGCACGGGTACCCGGGGGCTCTCCAGGCCCAGCCGCTGCCCCGACAAGGAGTCAAGAGAGCCTACTCCAGTGAGGTGAGGCCGGACGTCCATGTGAGAGGCCTGGCTGTGGGCACTGCTGTCCCTCCCTGGGAACTGGCCTCCCTGACCCGCTCCTCCCTGGGCATTTGCCTCTCCTCCTGCAGGTGTATCCAGGGCAGCAGTACCTGCCGGGAGGCCAGTACTCACCCAGCACCACCCAGTATGCCCCAGGGCAGCCCCCTGCCCCCTCTTCCTTCCCTGGCCACAGGCTGCCCCTGCCCACCTCCGGCCCCCCAGGACTGCACTACAAGGTAGGCCAGGTCCTCTGGGCCTGCAGCACCCCCTGCCAACCCTGGGGGGACACAGACATCTGGGGGGGCTGGGGGGGTGACCGCGCAGCCAGGAGCTTCCTGGCCCTGAGAGTGCAGGGCAGCCCTCAGGGGGCCCAGCTCTGTGGGGACCCCGGCACAGCCTCGGTGGCACCCACGGAGACCCACTGTGGGGTCAGCTGTCTCTGTAGTGGCAGTTTTTAAATAGTGAAATCAGTTCGTGCTCCCTGTAGATTATTTGAAAACAAAGTGTGTGAAAAAGAAAATTCAGGCCTGTGTGTGCGGTGGGCTCCCTGCCCCCAGCGCTCTCGGGTCTGGTTGGGGGCTGGCCAGGGGCCAGGCTGCCGCCCCAGACCCACATGGTGTCTCTCCTCAGCCCACAGAGCAGTTCAACGGGCAAGGCGCCAGCTTCAGCGCAGGGAGCATCGGCTACGGCCAGCCGGGCCTGAGTGGGGTACGGACGGGCGGGAGGCTCCCAGGGTGGGCGCGAGGAGAGGGCCTGTAGGCACCCCTGGCTTCCCGGACTGTTCCCAGTGGGTGCTCAGGAACACGGCAGCGCCCTCATTCTGCCTTGACTGTCTGCTCTATCCCACAGCCCACCCGTTCCGTCCCTGGCTACCCCAGCTCCCCACTGCCAGGGAGCCCCACGCCACCCATGACCCCCGGCAGCAGCGTCCCCTACCTGTCCACCAGCCAGGACGTGAAGTCCCCCTTCCTGCCTGACCTCAAGCCCAGCGTGAGCTCCTTGCACCCGTCACCCCCTGGTGAGTGTCGCCTGGTCCGGGGACAGGGAGGGACAGGGCCCCTGCAGGTCGCCCCTCCTGGCTCAGAGCCCTGTGGTTGGTCCTAAAACCTCATGGAGCACAAGGGTGCTGAATGGCAGGTGGCTCATTGACACCCTCAGCCCCACCGGCTGGCAGCACCGGGAGCATCTGGGCAGCATGCTCTCAGGGCATCATTGAGGGGATGATGTGCCGGCAGCTGAGGGAGGGCGGAACCGGGGGACCATCCTGCCACCGTCGGGTGACCTGCAGCTCGGGTTCCAGGAGATACCACCCAGGCCCCAGCCAGTGGAGGGGGTGGGCTGCAGTCCCCTCGCCTGTCCGCGCTGCCGTCTGCTCACCCACCCCTCCTTACCCATGAGTGCCCTTGTCTACGAGGTTTCCTATAGCCCTGCTGGGTTTCATGCGTATGTGGTCACTGCTGGTTTCGTGGCGACTCCCTTTAGTGATGTGTCTTCAAGGCCCCCTCAGGGGGCCTGAGCCAGACCCCACCCTGGCCTGGGTGCTTCTCCCACACAACAGGAGCCTTGCAATGGGCATAATCAGCCTCTCGGTGGTCTTGTCAAATTAGTGTCTTTTTGTTCCTCTGTCCCTGTCCGGGGGGGACAGAGAGGGGGGGCGGACGGGAACAGTCATGGCCCTTATAGAGTAGGGGCTGGAGACCATGGCTGGGGTGGGGGCGTGGCTGGAGTGAATGGGTATGTGGAGTTATGGGGGGAACTGGATTGTTGGGATGGGTTTTGATTGGAGGTGGGGCAGCGGGAATATCTAGGGTGAGAGGAGAGCTTGGGGAGGCTGGGGGAGCAGTTGAGGCCAAGGATACGGTCTGCATGACACATGGGGCTGCATTGAGTTCGGGAGGCGTGGCCTGGCGAGGTGTCGTGGAGGCCACGGGCAGCCCCCTGGCAGAGCCGCCCTGAGCCCCGCGTCACCCCGCCCCACCCCCAGGTCTGACCTGGAGCTGCAGTTCAAGTGCTACCACCACGAGGACCGGCAGATGAACACCAACTGGCCGGCCTCGGTGCAGGTCAGCGTCAACGCCACGCCGCTCACCATCGAACGCGGCGACAACAAGACCTCCCACAAGCCCCTGTACCTGAAGCACGTGTGCCAGCCCGGCCGCAACACCATCCAGATCACCGTCACGGCCTGCTGCTGCGTGAGTGCGGCGCCGCCCGGGGCCAGTCCCGTCTGCCCTCTGACCCTCGCAGAAGAGGCCTGTGGCACCCACCCTTGTGGCTCTCGGGGCCCCACGTGGTGGTGCTGAGAGGGGTTAGAACCGGGAGCCTGGCCACAGCCTCTGACACGCACCCCTGACCCACCTGCCTTGCAGTCCCACCTGTTCGTGCTGCAGCTGGTGCACCGCCCGGCCGTCCGCTCCGTGCTGCAGGGCCTCCTCAAGAAGCGGCTGCTGCCCGCCGAGCACTGCATCACCAAGAGTGAG